AAAAGGGAATTGAAATCAGTTAAAGCTATAAAGCTTAGTACATTCTTTGTCTTTTTAATCTCCTTAGCAATCCCAGTTTTTGTTCTAAGCATGTGAGTGAAACTGTAGTTTGGTGTTAATAATGCAATATTTTGACGTTAGGCTTCATCGTCTGTTGCCAATATTGATGAGTGGAAATGGAAACTCAGCATACTGTTACGAAATGAAAATGATGAAGAGATTGTATCCAGAGATAAAAGAGATAGGAGAGACTATGAACAGATCTCAAACCTTGCTAGGAGGATGGGACTTTACAGTTAAGGGCCAATATATACATTGAGTGTTTGATTGAGACGATGAATCTATTCCGTTATTATGCATGTTTTATTGATTTCTCCGTGAAATGTATGGCAAGGTCGTGGTTGCAAGCAAGTTTCCACTTCCTAACTACAGGCCAGATTTAGATGATAAGCGGTCACAGTGGGAGGTATCAAAGTTTGGGGAGATTGTGAAATGAATTGAAATCCCTATTATTTCAGTAGATTTACAGGTATAGAGCATTAAAATGTTGATCATTCATTTTTACAGGCAGTTATCCCTTTAAGTTTGCAAAGGAGGGTTGAGGGTTTACTACAGGAACACCTTGATAGAATGCAGTTAAGTTCTAGGAAGGTCTCTGAGTCAGATGGTACCAACTCCATTGAAGACGTGAATCTGGAAGAGAATCCAGATTCTTTCCTCCATAGCTCTGTTATGGAAAAGGTTCTTCAGATAAGTTTGCGAATTTGTGATATGCCAAGAGCTTGGCAGGCATGAGCTTATTTTTGTTTCTTCTTCTTCTTTTTTTTTTTTGCTAACCTACTTTTCATTCTAGGAAGTGAGCTTGTTTTAAAGGCATAAATTGTAAAATTAAAACAGTTTTTGTTGCCTGGTGTGATAGTTTCTAAAATTTATAGGACTTTCAATTTACAAGAATCACCTGAAGGCAGGAGGATGATGGAATTCCAAAAATCTCTACCTGCATTCAAGGAAAAGGAAAGGCTTCTTGAAGCAATTGCATGAAATCAGGTTGAATTTGCAACGACTTGTGCATGATACATTTAGTATTAGCCTTTTTTATTGCTTAAATTAATTGTTTATTTTTTATTTCTTATTTTCTTTTTGAACTTATGTGTTTCTTTCATTCTGTTAGGTCATTGTGATATCTGGGGAGACTGGATGTGGTAAAGACCACTCAACTTCCACAATACATATTGGAATCAGAGATAGAATCTGGTCGTGGTGCATTCTGTAGCATCATTTGCACTCAACCTCAGAATATCAGCCATGGCTGTTGCAGAGAGAGTATCTGCAGGGAGGGGAGAACCTATGGGTGAAACAGTGAATCCTGTCTCATCAATGGACTAGCATATGCACACACACAAAAAAAAGTGTAAATTCTATCCTAAAGGATAGTTTTCCATTTTAAAAACTTCTTTATATTTTCTTTTTTAAGAAATTGGCAAGCAATTTCATTGAAAATGAAGATCATATCTACAACTTCTTTATATTTTCTTTTATATTCCAACACAAATTTTTTGATAGGTTGACTATAAAGTTCGATAAGAGTTTATGAAAAGGAAAAATACCCATCTTCTCTTTTGCACAAGTGGTATTTTACTTAGACGGCTGCTAAGTGACCGCAACTTGAACGGAATAACTCACTTCTTTGTAGATGACATTCATAAGTGAGGAATGAATGAAGGTGCCTCTCAATTAGAATCTGTTTGGTGATTTTTTTTTCTTGGAGTTTAATTCTTAATATTAATTTGTGCCCTCTTTTGCTATTATTTTGCAACAGATTTCCTATTGATTGTGTTGAAGGATCTTCTCCCATGCTGTCGGGATTTGATGCTAATTTTAATGAGTGCCACTTTGAATGCTGAGCTGTTATCCAATATTTTGATGGGTCATCTACAATTAATATTCCAGACCTACAATTAATATTCCAGTACGCCAAAATTTCACTTCAACTGTTAGTGTGAAAAGCTTTTTTCCATTCACAAACCAGAGAAAATGGGGGAGGTTATGCATATCACCTACTTGAGTAATCATTGTTTTCAGTTTTTTTTTTTTTTTTTTTTTTTTCTTATTTTATTTTATTTATTTTGTCTCTATTTGGATTGGATTCATTGAGATCTTAGGTGGTCATAGGTTTTTGTGATTAAGTTATTGTGAAATTACCATGGGTCTACTTTTTGGTTCAGATGTGTACTTGACCACAGAAATTTCTCTTCTTCATGTGAGTTTAAGTGTGTTTATGTGTTATTCAGGGGTTCACATATCCTGTGAGGACAAACTTTTTAGAAGATGTTTTGGAGATGACTGGACATAAGTTGACTTCTTTCAATCAAATGGATGATTATGGCCAAGATAAGGTGTGGAAAACACAGAGGCAGCTAACTCCATGTAAAAGGAAGAACCAAATTACTGCTCTTGTTGAGGTATGGTACAACTTGCTTTGGGCAAAATATCACTTTTGGATGGATATAACAGTTGGCTCCAAAGAAAAGGAAAACCCAATTCACTGATCTTCTCATTCTTCTTTAGGATGCTCTTAATAAATCAAGCTTTGAGAATTACAGTTCCAAGGCATGTGATTCTCTAGCATGTTGGATGCCTGATTGCATAGGATTTAATCTCATTGAAGGAGTTCTCTGCCCTATCTGCCGAAAGGAAAGACCGAGTGCTGTGTTAGTATTTATGACTGGTTGGGAGGATGTTAGCAGTTTGAAGGCTCATCCCCCTTTTAGGAGACCCTAATAGAGTTTTGGTTCTAACATGTCATTGTTTAATGGCGACATCCAAGCAGGTAGGTTTATTTGTTTTCTGTTTCAAATAGATGCACATCTTTTTGTGCCATATTCTGTGACATGATCTCCAGTTCATTCCAGTCTTACTGATTAAGATAACATAATCGAATGTTTCTATGTTTCTTTATTGTTCTGCAGAAACCAATATTTGAGAAGCCACTTCCTAATATACGTAAAGTTGTTCTTGCCAAAAACATGGCCGAGGCCAGCATCACTATCAATGATATTGTTTTTATGGTAGATTGTGGAAAAGCAAAAGAGACCACTTATGATGCTTTGAATAACACACCTTGTCTCATACAAGACACCTTGTCTGCTACCTTATATCAAAAGCATCAGCTCAACAAGTATGCATCTTGAACTTAGCCTCAGTGTGCATATGCGTGTATCTAGTTATTTATGCATGAATCTCTTCTATTTACACACAAAGACAAACATGCAGGCATCCATTGACACATTGATACGATTTTGACTTCATTCATCGCTAAGTCATTGACATCAGAACTGAAGAGGTAGGAGTGTAACATGAATGTAATCCTTGCCCTTTTTTTACACCTATGCGTGGACATGCATGTATATGGGTTGGCAGGGTTGCTGCATGTATTTGTTTGCCTGCAACCCTTTCCACTGTAATGTGTTTTGTTCAACCTATGATCATTTTGTCATGATAGGAAGTCATTTCTTGAGTCTTGGAATGGCTGGAATAGTTAACATCTCTGATATCTTTACTATTTTTCAAGTAACCTTTAGTTCTTTGATGGACATCATATTACACTATTAAAGTTAACAGCATAATTCTGATGTATGTTTTCCTTCTCTATAGGGTGTTCATTTCATCTTCGTACTTCCCTCTATATTGAAATGGCTCTTGATGGGTTTATGCTTGATTTTGCAGAGGAGCAGAGCTGGCCATGTGCAATCAGGTGAATGTGACCACCAATATCCCAGATGTGTTTATAAAGCTTTTGTGCAATATCAACTTCCTGAACTTTTGAGGACTCCATTGAACTCTCTCTGCTTGCAAATAAAATGTCTCCAGGTTGGAAGCATTGGAGAGTTCTTGTCAGCAGCTTTGCAACCACTGGAATCATTGGCTGTAAGTTATAGTTCGAGTGGCTTTTAGCAATGATTGCAATTTAAATACTTTTGTTATATAATTTCCTTCTAACAAGACCATTTTTGTCCTGATAAGAGAATGAAGAGGGAAAAAATGAAAAATCCAGCAATTAGGATTATATGTAACTAGGATTATATTCTATATGATGTTTGCAAGTTCACTTGTAAAAAAATGAAAAAATGAAATTCAAGTTTAAGGCTGATCCTTCTTTTGTATAAAATGCTAGAACAATACTTGCAAGGGAAATGGATTGGCATTTGGGTCAATATTTGACTAATAGATAGGGTGGGATGGTTTTCTATAGTATTATTACCTCCCCAAACATGTTTATTTGCAATGTGCTGATACAGATACCTGAACCTTTCTCATGGTCCTCCACGTTATTCATTTTATGCCATCTCTTAACTTGAAACCATGCAATGTTTCAGATAATAACAAGCTATAGATGACAGGTCCAAAATGCCATTCATTTTCTTAAGATGATAGGTGCATTGGAGGAGAAGGAAAATCTGACAAATCTTGGTTAGTTTGCTAATTACTCTGAGGAAGAAGGTTTTTTAAATGATTATTTATGCCTGTTGTGGTGTGATTTGCTAATTTAATTTTCATCATTTTGTTGTTTTTTTCTTCTAACAATCAGGAAAGTTTTTGTCAATGCTTCCAGTAGATCCCAAGCTAGGGAAAATGCCGATCATGGGTGCTCTCTTCCGTTGCTTTGATCCTGTTTTAACAATAGTTTCTGGGCTTAGCATCAGGGATCCTTTCCTTTTGCCTCAAGACAAAAAGGATGCAAGTAAATAGACAATGTATTATATGTTAATTGAAGTATCTTCTCTTGGCTATGCATCTTTCTTCATATCGATGAATGTGCTTTTTTTTTTTTTTTGTTTTCCTTTAGCTCTTTAATTACTGAATAATGATTTTTTTTCTTCACCTCAGTTAGCTTGGACAGCAAAGTCTAGATTTTCTGCAGAAGACTACAGTGATCATATGGCTCTAGTACGTTCCTATGAAGGTTGGAAAGATGCAGAAAGAGAAGGATCAGCATTTGAGTATTGCTGGAGAAATTTCCTGTCTGCACAAACTCTTCAGGCCATCCATTCTCTTAGGAAACAGTTTAGCTTCATTCTAAGAGAAGCTGGCTTGGTGGATGCAGATGTAAGTACCAATAACAAATTGAGTCAGAACCAGTCCCTCATCCGTGCAGTCATATGCTCTGGCCTCTTTCCTGGAATAGCATCTGTGGTGGTGAGGCATCTTTATCATTCAATAAACCAGCTATGCCATTTTGGATTTTCCACCATATGAGTAGTTTGATACTAATAATTTTCCACTATATGTGCAGCATCGAGAGACATCTATGTCTTTCAAAACAATGGATGATGATCAAGTTTTACCATATGTTGGAAGCATACAATTGACTTGAGTAATTTTAACTTTAAAGGAAGAATTGTAACCATTCACATAGTGGAAAAGAACTCCAAAAAATGAAGGCTGGAAACATTAAAGTAACGTTGTCTATACATTCTGGTTTTAATCTAAGTCCTGTCAAATGATTTTGCTTCAGAATTCAGTGAATTCACGTTATCAAACAATTCCTTACCCATGGCTGGTCTTTGGTGAAAAAGTGAAGGTGAATACTGTGTTCATATGTGATTCCACTGGTTTGTCTAATTCTATTGATGCTTTTTGGTGGTGCTCTAAGCCGTGGAGTGCAGGTGATTCCATCTTTTGTCAGATATTTCTGTTTTGTGTTGCCCCAGGATTTAACTGCTAGGGATTTTTATTTAGAAACCTTCCTTTTTTGAGGCTGGGCATTTGAAAATGTTGCAAGGATATATTGATTTCTTCATGGATACTGCTTTAGCATAATGGTTTTTTTTTTTTTTTTTTTGAACAGTTTACAATTTGGGAGAGGGGGATTTTTCAAAATGTTAGTGGAGTTCAAAATCCCAACCAATCAATTAATCCAAACATCTTAAAGTTCAGGGGTGAATTGTTTGAACTTAAAGGTTGCTATTTGAATACGAGAGAACTTGAAAATCTTACATGCACTGAACAATATTCGTGCATGTCCGGCACTTTCAAAATAATTACTCCAAAAGGGGCAAATACAGGGACCTTTTTACCCCTTCTAAGGCAAAAAAATTTAAAAGAGCCAAGCTCTTTCGTTTTAAAAATGCTGTAATGATACCCATGTTGAAGCTTTGTTCTCTATTTACATACATGGTAGATGCTCTAACCCTCGCTTCTTAACCACCCCCCCATCCCTCCCCCGCCAAAAAAATACTCCATTCCCATGCGAGGGTTGAACCACCAATAAAAATTTTCGAGACAAGCGTGCAGAGTAAGGGACTTATTTCGTGTTTTATAGGCTATATAGCCTATAACTAAAATAAAAAAGAAAAATGAAGAAAAAAAAAGGTTTTTGCCAGAAATTTATAACAACTTAAAATATTTAATTTAATTATACAATTAAAATATTTGAATTTCTTTATTATCATTTAAATATAAATAATCTTAATAAGTCATAATTATGATCATTAAAAATAAAATTTTATTTGATACTTGTGAATGAAACAATTTATAACTATTTAATAAACTCATTCGATCAAAATTTTAAATACTCACATTATCAAAAAATATATATTATAAACATAAAATAACTTAAAATTCTAACACGTTAGAATTCGTTGAGTTCTTTTTTATAAGCAAAAGTTAGAATTGGGTCGGTGCTATGAATTATGTTAGAAATATGGGTTCAAATTTGTACATTTTTCTCTTTTTCAGTTTATCCTGAATTTGTAGTTTGTACAATGACAACTGACTAGAAAACTTCATACCGGAATCACCTTGTAGGGCGGAAAAGAGTTTGAAATTTGTCCAGGGGATTACCGTTGCTATTTATCCATATTAAACAAAAGTTTTATATTTTACCATTAAAATTACACCCAATTAAAAAATAAAAATAATTAAATAATAAACAACTTCGATATCAACTTAATATCAAGAGTATACATTTTTTTAAAAAAATAAAAGATACAAAATAAAATAAAACAAAAAACACAATACATTTTTATCAATAAAATGCACACTCAACAGTTCCCATTTCAAAATTCAAACACATACATGGCCGGGACAAAGCAAGTGGCTTAAAAGAAACGAAATTGACGTCGATCGGGGATGATACCCTCCGATCTGTGCTTATGTATGTGTTTTAGGTCATGTACACCACACTCATAGAAAGGAAAAAACTTATTAATAGAGTTTCAGTACACCATCCTCCACAAAAAATCATGATTCATGACAGTAGTTTCAATGGTTTGCATGAATGAATACATCGACAAGGTATAAAGATGACGGAATATCTGTATACAAAATTGCATCCTTACCTTGCCCTTGCAAGTTAAAAAAAAAAAAAAGGTTAATACAATACAGGAATAGTGGGGATGAAAACTGGCATTTTTTACTTATATACGAGATTTGGGGACAGTCAACCCATCTTATGCAGTGACAGGAGCTGATTTTGATGGACCCCTAATTAACCAGTTCTTGCAATTTTGGATAAAGTATTGCCCCATTGCAGATCACCAAACTAGAATGCCTCTATGGAGCGACTAGCAATTCCGTGGAACACAGCATTTGACATGATTTAAACTTTACATTATATGTTGGTGCTGGATCGAGCTATCCTCTGGGCTCCCTCAAGGTCATTCAAAAACCTGCAGTTTTATCCAACATAACAATTTAAGATGGCATCACATATAAGCTGCACAGGATTTCTCTAGTCAATATCATATTGTGAAGCGAAATAAGAGAAGCTTTCCACATATTACACAATAGGTTACAGATGAACATGCACATTTGAAAGGCAAAATTAAATGCAGTCAAGGAATGATACTTGGGGTAACTATTTAAATTATATAGGATCATCACGGAATTTTGATTACATGGGTGTTAATTACCATTCTTAAATGTAATTCTAGAATCTAGGGAAATTATATTATTTGAGTATTGTTTAGGTTATTACATCAGCTTTCTGTTCGCATTATGGTTTATTGCATTATTTATCATGAGCGTAGGGATTCAAGGCTAGTATGCTTTAGGTTTAATGCATGTTACGTTTCAAACCAAGTATCAGAAATTCTCCCATATTTTATTTCCAGTGTCTGACCCTAGTCCATTTAGTTTCTCATCCTCTTCGTCCCTCCCTTCCCCTATTTCTTAAAATTTTCCTATTTTGCATCAACTACCCTCTCCCATAAAAATAGCAATTCAGAGAACCTAATGCATCTAATTTCTCATCCCTTCTCTTCTTCCCTCCCTTCCCCTATTTCCTATATTTTCCTATCCCCCTTTCTCCATTTTTCTCTCTTATCCATCTTCTCTGTTTTTCCTGTCCTGCATCAACAGCCCTCTCCCATAAGAATAACTATTCATAGAATTTAATGGTAATATGCCACACCAGTTTTGTTGCAGATTCTTGTGGCTTCACATTCAAGCTGAGCTTCTTCACCATTCACTGATAGTTTTGGGACCAGGTTCACTTGGGAATAGAATGAGGGGTCATGACCAATTACTCAAACCTAAATAATAAAACCAAACCAGTTGAATGGTTCTGCTAAGAATAGACCTAGAATAAATAACCATTACTATGACCCAAATGTGCTGTCAGTTTTAACTGTCCTAATAAATGTCACAGCTCTACCTAAGGCTAGGATCCACTTATGAATAACAAAAATTATGTAATGCACAGTTCTCAAGTAACCCAAACACAACAGATTTTTAACTAGGTTCAAGCTAATTTAGCGGAAGCCCATCACTACACAAGGAAGACGGCAGTTTCACGTTTGAATATGTAGCTAATGTAAGATCATAGTGGTAGTAAATGATAACAAACTTTTTCTCAGCCTAAGGCACAGTGTCCAAAAATTAGGCAGAGAACACATTCACAGCCTACCTTTTAGAGTTAAGAACCATAGACCCACCAAGGATAAAACGAATTCCACTATTGCTGGCATTTTGTAGGGCAACAGAGCGTGACTCCTCATAGGTTGTCCCACCAACAATGAATATAACTACCTCCTGTGGCCTGCATAGAGATTGAACATGCATTGTTGGAAAACTATATCCTTATTTTGTTTAATGATCAACCAAAAGCATAATTAAATTAATGGAAAACTAAATCCATATAATTCTGAATCTCCTCTCCCCTATTATTATATTTTCACACGTACAAATCACTAGCAAAAGTATAATACACATGAAAACCTTGGGTTCTAATTTATGTTTTTCCTGGAGTTCCTTAAAGGGTTTAAGGAATAAACAAAGGGTTTTTTTTGGACAAGTGCCCTAAGGGTACAACTTAAGGGTGCATTAATTGCACATTTTTCTTATTAATTGTTATGGAAAAAATAAAAGTTGACTTCAATTTTATCAACTGTCCAATTAAAATCTTGCACATGTCATTAGTGTTGAAAATGAAGTTAGTTTTTGTGTTTTTTCATACAAATTAATGAAGAAAAAACAATTAATCCACCCTTAACCCATAAATAAATTGTGAAAAATAGGAAAGTTCAAAAATAAAGATAGTTAAAATTGGGTTATGTACAGCAATGCAGTAAAAGATGGTTGGAGGAATGATTTGTTTTTCAGGATAATAATGTGATTTTAGTTAGTGGGGTTTAATTTGCAACTTCAACATAATTCTATGGTCCAGGGGAAATTATGTTATTTAAGTATTATCAGTTTTCTATTTCGGTTACAATTAGCTGTCTTTCATTAAGAATTGTATTCTCCTAGTAGGATTCAACAGTCTTCATAGCTGGGTATAAGGGATTATTTTTTTCCTAATCTTGATTAATTAAAACTAGATTAAAACGGCATGTGTTCTTTATTTTGGTTTGCTTGAGAGCTAAATATGTTTGGTTAATTGAAAAAAAGAGAAAAAGAAAAAGGTTTTGGGCTTATACTTAAACCATTAATTATAGAAAGTGGATCACCCTTCTGAGCAAAGTTCTCAGTTACCAAAATTACAATTTTGATGCTTTTCCTGTTGTAACATCCATCTCATTAAAAAATTCCAACTGGATTAATTTCAGAAGTATGCTAAATTTGAGCATTTTGGTGGTGCTTAAACCAGCCAAGGATGAGCCTTAAAGAAAAAGAATAATTTCTTAAGAAGAAGAGGTTAAACCCCTTTTTTAATCTTGATATTTAATAAATAATCAAATAAGCTCAAACAGATACCTGACTCAGCTCATCTTATCTGCAGCCCAATGACAACAGGGATAATTTTTTGCTTGAAATCAATTATCTTAAATTCTTGGTACCCTTTTCCAACTTGTGCAAGAATTGTTGTAAATATTGACAAATATAATTAGTTGCATTTTAAATTTTATGGAAAGGCTTCTATCTGTGACCTAATAATCTTAACAAAAATGGCCAAATTCAGGAGAGGACAGAATTAGAAAAGCAACTTACTATTCTATCATTATCCAGGTACTACTGGAATTTTCCAGCATTGAGTTTCCAAAATGCTAACAGCAAAAGACAAACCATACCAGTTTAGCAAGCAAGTGGCATCTCATAAAGCATTGAAGAAACATGATAAGGAGCATCAAAGTAACTGCAAAGTTTAAAAGATCAAACAAAGACATCTTAGATGAGTTTTTGTATGACAACAAACCTGCCCTGCTGGAAGTGATTTCCAACATCTCGCAAGCGCCCCTTGGTTATGCTCTCCATGGTTTGGAAAAAGAAGAGGCTGCTGTTGAGTGTAGACATTCTCAACCCCCTAAATAAAAGGATTGAAAATTATCCATAAGCAAATACAGATATACATTCAAAAACAGAAAAGTAAAGGCTGTCCACAAACCTTCACCCACAAGCAATGTTCCAAGCAATATTCAGAAGATCACAATTTCCATAGAGATCACCAGTTTGTTTGTCGACACCAGCTTGCTTCAGGAGGAATTGCATCAGCTGTTTCCACGATTGCCAACAAAACTAACCAGTATGTTACTCATCCAACCTCAACTTAAAAAAGAGTATCACTTAAAATAATTGTTGAAAGATTCAAGCATCCAGTGTATGTAAATCTATAGCCTGTTTTAGCAAAACGAGACATCCTTTGAATCCAAAGACTATATAAATGTTTTATGAATCAGAAAAGCCTCCAATCAGGTAAGTAATATAAAGAATGATCTGTGCAGCATACATATACACCGTTTTTTGACAACCAAAGCAATAAATTTAGATTGTGGATAATCACTCATAAACATAATCAGCAACACACATGCCTATTTGTAAACACAAAGCTAATAAAGGAAAATGAGAAAAATAAAAAAGAGAGAGATTATCTGATCTTTGATGGTTATTTTACTCCAGGTTTGTACTTGGCAGACTGAGAAGCCAGTTTGTTGAACAGCTGCATCAATTGAACAGGGCTCTCCTTCTCATAACACAAAGCAAACAACATTACAAGGCATAGGCAGTCAATATCAGTTATGCTTTCATTGTTTAAAAGATTTGTCACTGCCTGCAAGGGAGAATGTTAATAAGCACACATGAGTTGTAAATAGCACCAGATGTTTCACATGGAATTACAAATTGCTACTGTATGGCCAAAAAAATTACAAATTTCTAATGAAATTTTCCGCAGATACTATCTCAAACAAGGTAATGAAACGTGCTTATTTGAAGAGCTGTATCTATATCTTCCTTTTTTTTTTTTTGCTACAAAGCTGCATCTATATCTCAAACCAGTAAACTATAAATAATAACTATGAATTGCACCAAATGATAAAAGACTAAGGCCTAATTTTTCCTTTCAAGTTGTAAAACGGAATGTAGATTTATAGGATTCTTTTATACTCAGTAAACAAATCAGACAGAAACATGTTAATTTGATATATTTTGCACATGGTGTGAATACAATATGGATACTTTTTTTCATTAAATGTTATCAAAATCTGTTAGATGTAAGCTCCTTCCATAATATGCAATGCTAATCACCTCTAGCAAGATCTCACCAACATGTTCTAATGTACTTATGTTACATATATGTCTTTGCTCGCTCTTATTCCTTCAGGTCTTCTGCTAAGTCTAGTACTCTTTCTTCCCTTTATCTATGGAAGGGCATACAACATTTGATCTGCACCAAAAAATGTTGCTGCTAGTGCAATCACAGTAAAAGTTGGGCTTACAATGAATGCTACATTGCAAACCCCATGAAGGGGAGATCTAATAACAGGATTTGGTGCCATTTCCACAATGTTGGCAGGTGGTCTAAGACATTAATATAAAAAAGAGGATGTCTATAGCTTTTGAATCACTAACCTTTGTTCATTGCTAAAGTAAAGATCCCTCCACAGCTAGACTGGTTAACCTCTTGGTTCATCTATGACTATCATGCATTCATTAACTGTAAAAGTATATAAAAAATGCACATTTTAGTCATCCATGTCTCCAAACAGCCAGGAAACTGTAATTTAGCAACTAATACATAACTGTGAACTCGTAACTCCATGAAGCCAACATGTATAAAACTACAAAAAGAAAAAGAAACTGTATGCCACCTCAAAAGCTGCTGCTTGCCCATCATCACAGGCTAACTCCTGCTCTCTTTGTGAAACCAACATAAGCTTTCTCTCTTCCACTATGTTGCTCATTTCTGTGGCCAATGTAACATGTTTTGAAACATTGCCTTGCATTTTTCTGAACACAGGATAGTTATCTACAAATTTGGCCATGTCTTCTGCAAAAGTTCAAAGCCATAAAAATATTTAACAACTACCAGCAGCCATTAATGATTGGAATGAAGGTATATTATTAAATGAGTCCAAATACTCAGTGTTGCCTTTTACCAACCTATTGTTTGAATATTTTGATTGCTTTTTGCAACTTGCTGAAAGTCATCCACCATTGTTTTGATATTCATTCCAATATCTCCAAAATTCTCATGCACGTTAGCTTTGAAGAAATCATCTTGTAATGATGACAGCACAACTTCCTATAAGCATTAGAAAATGAATACATATTTTACACAAAATATTTAAATAAGTAAATATCTTTAAAATGTAAAAGAGGCAATTAACCTGCTGATCTTGGGGACTTTGCCAATGTTTCTCAAGTCAAATCTTGAATGTCTAACAATTCATGAACCATTGCCTACAAACAGAATGCAGTCAATCAACTAGATGAAGTACATTGGCCAAGAAAATAGGCTAAAATACCCTGAGTGAGAAAAAATCAAGATGCATACTTAAAATTAAGAAAAACATAATCACAGAGTAAATAACCCAACCCCCCCCCCCCCCAAAAAAAAAAAAAAACAAAAAACCATGTACCTGATAGGTCCATTGATTAAGCAATGGAGTCACAGGATCATCCCTTCTATCAACTATAAGCAATAATGGAGACATTTCCATTCTTCTGAAATCAAAAGACCACAGCTTCTGTCATGTCCAAAAAAGAGACAAAGCAACCAATCAGTTCAGAAATTTCTGTAAGAATTGCAGTTCACAAATTTACTTACATATGTTTCATGTGCAATCCCTTTTGTAATATCAGAGGTCCCTGAATATCTAATGAGAGGTTTTTGTTTTAATGCCAAGAAAACTGCAGCCATAACATCAACAACCCGGTCACAGTAGTGCTGTAAACTTGAAGGATCTACAACTGCTGGGAGCATATATTGGTGATTTGAGGACATATTTAAAGTGAAATGAAGTGCATTAATTGCAATAAAATCAGCATAGAACTCCTGCAAGAACAAGAAAACAATTTCAAATGACTACTTCAATTAGGGACTAAAACTGCAGCACACCTTCACAGTTCAAAAGCTTTTAAATATAATAAAAGACAACAGAAAACTACAATATTAAGGAAAATGCAAGTAATAAAGTATGGGAAGATGAATTATAGTAACTTTATAAATTTTAAAAAACTTTTCACCCAGCACAAATGCTTAAATAAGCCCTTTAGAATTTGGCAATGCATCTCGCATTAATATAAAAGAAAATGCACAAATCATTTCAGTCCTTGATTTATTTTCTCATTTGCAACGTATTTTTCAGGATTTTCCACTAAAAAATACCACCAACCATTGCTGCTCTCAAGAATGTAGAACCATAACTTTACTGATCTAAACACAGCCCTTACTTCCATTTGATCATGAATACACTCTCAAGACTTGAACGCATGCCCTTATTCATGGCAGCATGAGATCTTACAATGCACCAGAGAAAAGGTCCTTCTAACTAGGCCTTAAGAGTAATTTTGTCACATAATGATTCCTGTATAAGCAAGAAAATGAAGTCCAGATTTCCTATTTATCAATTTCATAGTTGAAATAATAATCCAGATGATGGACTCTAATATGAGGATTACAAAAGTACCGGTCTATAAAGGGTTACCTAAACTTGTTGGACAACTTCCCATTCATCTGAATCTGCTAAAATATGAATCTGTTACAGTAAAACCAACTTATAACCCCCTCCAAAAAGATTTAAAGTCCTTACATAAATGGTACTCCCCAAATCTAGGATTAGATAGCTGACACCGCAGATGCTGAATATTCTCTGATGTAGGCCTGACGAAGTAAACAGCTTTGAAATGTGACATAGATTCCTTTGACTTGGAAATTAAGTCTACCACTTCTACCAAAAATACTTCTTTCTGAAGAAGTTCAGATTGTGAATAGACAACACTGACAATATGGACCAGCAACTCAGAAAACAACAAAAGCAAAGAATAAAATAGACAATTACCCAGAGAGCTGCAGTTAAGGTTGACAAAAATGTGGCTCAAAAAGGTTCCAGGATAAAGCAGAACAAATTTAGCTCAACATAATATAAAAGCTTTAAGCATATAAGTGGAAAAGTTATGCAAAGAGAAGTTCTAGCTGATCTCAGATACAAAGACTGTAGGTGTATACTAAAAGATGCAGTTAGGCATGGAGAAGTATATCATACTGAACACTGTAATGCATGCATGCAAAGAGGTAATCTTTGTACCTAGGTATTCAAGAAATCAGGCAACTAAGGTCCAAAAACGATTTTTTTTTTCTGATTTTTTTTTATTGACAATCACAAAGCGGTTTGACTGGAAATTTGTCCTTGATGTAATACTCTCAAGAAAAAGTAAAAAGGCCACCTTCAATCATGGGTGAAACAAGAATAGGGGCAGTTTAAAGAAAGAAGCTAAGTTCTATCATTCTCATACAAATTGAATTTAATGAATGTTGAAAAGAAAAATGGCATTCCAAATCCATATATGTGTGTCAATAGAAAGCACAGAGTATAAATCATGATAATTCAGATCACCGGGTGCATCAAGGCAAAAGCAATTGCAGATTGCTTCTACAAAAAAGACAAACCTAATACTAGTAGGCAGTTATGTTTATAGATTTTAGAAAGTAGCAGTCCAGAGCACTGATCACTCCATGCTGAATGATTATGATGCATTACAAACTACATGTTACTAGTTAACTAAGGCCATACTCAAAACCAGAAAGAAGAGTGAAACTTATGCAAGAAACAATAGAAATCTTCATGAGTTTCCCATATCTCAAAATTTGAAGATCAACTATACAATTTTTTTTTGAGTCTTCATTGTGGAACCATAAAAGCAATAAAGCTGCTCAATGTGCTCATCACAGAGCTTTACTTCTCTTTTATCGGTCACTACAAATCCCAATCCCTAAGCTAAACTCCATCATTACATACCAACTAACGGATTGAAGTATACATGATTACAAAAAATCAAAAGACCTATTTGATAAATATGCAGACCCGAGTTAACAGAAATAAACCCAACAAGCCAGTAGCAGTCAATGTTGGAGACCTAATAGTCATTCAAAAACAAAACTCATTTACAGTGACTTGTCTTAGAATTAAAACATCCAATTCAAGCGCAGAAGGTTAAACTCAAAACATTGCTCTATTTCTACTGATGTCATAAGTAAAAGTTGGGTTCACAATTCACCACTCAGTTTCCAATTATCAAACGTTTTTAAAGAACAGATTCAGAAAACAATTCCTCTCTAATCTGTTATTCATTTAAAAGTTCCAATGTAATAGCTACATCAATTGCATAATCCAATTGTTCAAGTTTGCTCGAATTCTATCAAACTAAAGAATTGAATCATTAAAAGCGAATGAAATGATTGATAGACAGAATGCGATTAAGATCAAACTTTTATAATTTAGTCAAAAAAACCAAAGTTCATTACCGTTTGAGAATCGAGAATGAGAACTTTCATGCCGGAGATATCCTGCAACATCCGGTTGATGTAATCCCGTACGGCGGCCACCAGCACCATCGTTGGTTCCTCTAGATCTAGGTTGCAGTGTTTCTGGATTTTCAGGTGATGGTGAACGTGTAATCCGGTAACTAGAATCACGAAGATTCCGGTAACCGGGCTTAAGATCGAATGAATTTTGGAAATCTGGACATTAAGCAAGACGACCAATTCGAACCGTTTAGAAGAAGTCCGCCAAATGCAATGTTCTAAGAATCGACCCGGGTGCTTGACCCGTTTTAGGTAATGGTTGTAGTTCAACTGATTTAATTGATTGATTCAATCAATCACATAAAAAAATGATATTTTTAAACTTTTAAAGGGTAAAAAATAAATTTTGATTTTATAACATATAGTAATCATATAAATATTAAATCATTAAACTTAATAGTCTTTGTTGCTAATATTTATTTTTTTTAATTTATTTATAATTAAAAATCAAATGTAATAATTAGTAATTTTATAAAAATTAAATAAGAATTTTAATTTAAATCTTTTAACATCAAACCATCTATATAAAAAATAAAAAAGGAAAAAAAAGAATAATATCATTAAATTAAATTTCATTTAATGTTTAAACATTTAAAATTTTGAATCTTATCAAATCATTATCATTATTATTTATGATTTTATTAAATAAACAATTTAAAACCTTAAAAATAAATGCTTAATTTAATTTAGTAATATCAAATATGATTCATAATTTGAGTTTAAAGGTAATTACGTTAACTTTGTTATTTTACTTTTAAAATTAACTAATTTATATATTTTAGTTTATGAAAATATTTTTCTAATATGTTCTTTTGTATTTATTGTGCCTTTTAATAATTAATTTTTATAAAAAAAATTAATTTTAATTTATTAAATGTACAATTAAAATCATCCACATGATGTTGACTTAGAAAATAATTAATTGTTAAAAATTACATAAATGCACTCTTAACTTTAACTAAGTTAAAAAATATATATTAAATAATTATTTTATTTTATTTTAATAAATGAAATTTTGTTCAAGAATGAGAGGTGTTGGTGGGGAGTGACAAAAAACCTAAAATGTGCATGGAGTGAGTGGGGTTTAAATCCCCTTGTGCACAAATTTGTTGAAAGATGTTCAAACTTTGTGAATTAAACAGTTGATTAGTTCAAAAGTTAACCAGTTTGATTAGTTTTCCCAAGTTTTGACCATATTTAACTTTAATTGTATCTCACTACACACTGAGTTTATATAATGAATCAAACTATTTTTATCACAAATTTTGATTCAACCAATCCAATCCAGGTTTTAAAACCATGGCCCAACATATTTCATGGTAAGTTCCATACTTATTTTAGATTCTTGATTAAGCATTTAAGTGCATCGCTTATATGCATAAAGTATTAATGTGTGATTGCTTATATCATGAATGGTAATTTTATAGATGGCATGTTGTAAGAAATAAGATTAAATTGCACAAATTAAAAAATTTAGAAATTTATTAGCTTCAACAAAAATTTAAAAACTTAATTGAGAATCTAAGTAACTTCAATGGGTTTAATGTGAGGTTTTGCCTATCATATTTTTTTTAAGAATAAAATTATATAAAAAAAAAAAGTGAAAATGTCATGATTTCTAATTATGGATATTTTTTTCGAAAATAGGCAATGGAAATTATGGGTAATAAGTGAGATATTGTGTTGGACTAAGCTACATTTCATGCATCCTGCGGCTATTAGTTGACATTCTAATATAGGCATCCGAAAAATCCCATCTAATACTCTAATTAAAACAAAAAGATTAGTCAAATATACGACCCTCAACCATGTTGTGGACACCAAAGCAAGCACCACAAATCGTTGGAGCCTAGCCAGCCTTTTGCACCGATTTCTAAAATACATCGACAGAAAACTCTGACAAGGAAACAAAAACCCAAAAGGAGAAAATTCGACTTCTATTCATGTTCCTAGCTGCTAAGAAGAATAGAAGCAACTATTAGGGCCAAAAAAAGAGCAAGATGGATGGAAGGGAATCAGGGGAGAGAGAATGAGAGAAAGGAAGGCAGCTATACGTCTAAAAGTATTGAACTACATGATATATTTTTCACTCGTGAGTTTAATTTAGATTGATCCAAATTAACCAATAAAGTTTAGTTCAATTCAATTTTAAGGAGTCATTTGTTTTGAATGTTTGGAGATAATTAATAGTTGTTGGGTCCTAATTAATTAAATATAATTATTTGACAAATAATTTTTGTCATTTGTTAAAAATTAACAAAAAGCAATAAAAACCCTTAATAGTTGTGTTTTCTAACAACTATACTAAGTATTTGTAGATTATTTATTTATTTATAGGCCCTTATCTTAATCTAGATTCTAGAAATGTATTAAATTTCTTCTAACATTAAATCTAAACAACCAACAACCATGGTTGTTTCCCCCTAATCTTGGAAATCAAAACAAACTAGACCCAGTTCCCCCACCAAGTGAACGGCACACCTGAAGCCCTGTAATCAAGAAAATACCCATGTAAACCCTAAATTATTTTCCCAACAAACAAACATAATTAGGATAAGAGATATAAATCTAGGTCAAACCTTGTAAACAATCCCAATTTTCTACTTCCTGACGAACAACATCGAACACAAAGTCAATGATGATCTGCAAAATATCCCTCTAGTATGCGCCTGGACTCCGTTCTTTCTATTGCTCTTGGTCAAAAGATATCTAGAAAAACTTACCCATTGAAAAACTCAAGATGTCTAATAGAATAAAAGTAATCTAATGGGAGAATAGAATAGAAGTAATTTATGAGTGTTATTATTGTTATTTAATCAGAGAATGGAAGAGAACAGGAGAAGATCGATGGAGAAGCAAAATGGGGTTTAGGAGGCTAAAAGAAAGTAGAAACGAATGAAAATTGGGGTGTTAGAGAAAGGGATATTATTACTATTTATTAACACATGAATTGTGCAGTTAGATAATTATTATTATTTTATTTATTTTTTACTTTTGTTCTTTTTTTAAAAAAAATTAAGAAAATGTGATATTATTATTGTCTTTATTGAAAAAGGAATAAATTTTAATTTTTAGTATTGTTGTGATTTTAATTTTTTTATTTTGGTTTTTAAAAATTTTAAAATCTTAGAATAAAATTAAGTAATTTTATAAATTGATTAAGTTTAAAGTTTTTGGTAGTTGTTTTAAAGGTTTTTCTAACTTATAAGAGCACAAGTTAAGAGTTTTGAAAGAATAAAAAGTAATATTTAATTTATCAACTATTTAATTAAATTTATTCACATGCTAATAACAATAAAATTAATATCAACTTTTACATTTTTTTATATAAATTTATAACAAAAAAGTTACCTTAAGGGTATAAGTTTAAAAAATCTTTGTTTTAAAATTTTATACCAATAAGTTGCAATTTTAATTATTAATTTTGATTTTTAATTATTAATTTTGATTTTTAAAATTTTAAAAACAAAACAAAAAAAACTCAAAACCACAACTATATTAAACAAATAAGTAAAATAACTAATATGAAATATGTTCTTAATAATAATTTAACATTTTTCTAAAAACAATTAGTAACTCTATTATCAACACTAATTATTAATGATAACAGTTAATAATTATCAACTATCAATTATTAATTATCAATTATCAACAATCTATTAAATTTGAACGACTAATCCACACGACCCTAACAAGTTACCTAAAGTTATGGGTGGTGTTATAAAAACAATCTTTTTATATCACATTTTTATATAATTTTTACATATCATTAAATGAGTAAATACATTCGATATCACAAATTCTACATGAATTAAAAAAATTAATCATTTAAATGACATGTCAAGTTATATAAAAAAATGAGATAAAAGGTCATACAAAAATCAATTCCCCCGAAGTTATACCAATATAAGAGTAATTAGAGAGATTGATGGGAATGAATTTGGATATTGTATCCGAAGTATTGACACACCCTTTTTATATTATTTTTTTATATAATTTTCACATGTCAGTAAATCAGTAAAAGTATTTAATGTCACAAATTTTAAATAAAAATAAAAAAATTAATAATTTAAATCACACATAAAATTATATAAAAAATGATACAAAAATATTTTTATTAAATCATTTTGCGTCGGAGTAATGGTTATGGTTTTCTTGTCCTGCCCCGTGAGTCTTTTCCTTTAGTGGGATTTTTCTCCTTTCATAGGAGTTTTTTCGTTCTCATTCCATCTCGATTCGTTTTTCTTGTTTCTTCGTTCTCTTCTATTTCACTTGTTGTTGCTTGGTCTTCTCTCCTCTTCTTTATCTCGGGTTTGGGGATCTTTCGGGGGTAAAGGAAAAGGCTAGTATTTTGCCGCGAGCTTGAAGGACAAAGCGCAAGATGAGACGGAGGGTAGTCGTGAGGTTAGGGTTGTTGGAGAAGCGACCGTCAAGATGAACCAAGGAGCTAGATTCTTTGTCGGCTTCATGGCAGACAGAAGGCTCACATGTTCAGCTGCAACAGAAGCAAATTTGGGGTCCATCTCAAAGAAAGTTTGACTTGAGGAGGAAGGAGGAGGAGATTTTCTGGGGGCCTGGTATTGGGTGCCAACAAGGGAAATATCAATCTCTCCCAGAGTCGTTGATGCCGTAATTTTATTATTTGGGTGACTATTTATGACCCCATAACAATTACTCGCAACCATCACTTCTAATTTAGTCCTCGTCTTCATTTGTCATGAGCAAATCTTCTATATAGAATCAATGTGTAAAAATTAAACATATAAATTTTAATATAAAATTTATATTTAATTTAAAATTAATTAATAATAAAAAATGTAACTTTCCTACTATAACTTATACATTTAATTATTATTTACTCAATGTAAAATTTTTTTCACTCAACCTGCCTTACATGTACAAGTCCGCAGTAAATGTTGTTCCTACCATTTTGCTTAATACAATATTTGTTAACTTTGCTTATATGGCGCTGATTTTGGATTTGTTTGATGAATCAATTATCAATGAGTCTATGATTTTTTTTGATTAATAAAAAAAGAGATTAATGGGAATGAAGAATAATAATCAAGATTTTCAGATATTGAAACTTGGTTTTCACTAGTATAAACTTAAGGCATGAACTATATATTTTATTGGGCTGGACAATGTATATTAATTAATTGGATAAACTGATATTTAGAATTTAAAGTATAAGATAAATAATGCCAATCACTATTGTGGAGCAATGGTCTCAACTTTTTTAAGAAATATAATAATATTTAGAAGTTTAAGATTTAAATCTTGGTAGTCTCATTTTTTATTTTTCAAATTATGCTAATTAAAAATAAAGAAAAAAAAAGAACGATAGATAGATGGATTAGATTAAATCCTAAACAGGAGTGACTGGGTTCAATCTCACAACTTACAACAATAATTTTTTCATCTATCATCCTACCTTCTGCCCACATAAGTCCTCAAAGAAGGAGACTGGGTGAGGGCAACAGGAGCAACCGTGGTATTCTGAGTTCCATTGCTTTGTTGCATTCTTCTCCTTGCTATGTAACCTCTAATCCAGGGGGTCACATCCTCATTGATCTTGATCATGATGAAGAAGATGATGCGGTATATTATGATCATGCTGAAGATTACACTCAGATCGATCCATTTTGATCGATGCACGTCGATTTGGAATACGTTCTCCAGGACGTATTCACCGGAAATCTTAGGAAGATAAGGTGATTGGTTGTCGAATAACAAGCCTTTCAGATCATTTTGGTATTGCCCCTGGAAAACAAATATATAATATAATATTCAATGTTTAATTCCAGACATTTTAGAACCCAACAAACACGCATAGATGGCATGGTCTTTTTGCTTTTACCTGTAGAGACCAGTAGTGGAAGCTAATGTAAGACATGGGGTAACGCCAGACAGGTTTTGGGATGTCATTAGGGAGTCTGAAGTACCCAGAAACAAGCATGAATATTCCCTGGAAACAAACAGAAAAAATATATATCAGAGTGTTAATTCATAAAATCAGGCAGACATTGAAAAGAATTTAGTCTTGAATTCAAATTAACCTGAATTCCAGCTCCAATGATGATGCCCATGAGGAAATTGGGGACAACACTAGCTATGGCCATCATCAAGCTCTCAACAACGGTTACACTGGCATAAAGGCACAGCACAAAGAACAAGTAATGTTCGAAGCCAGGATGAAGTCGGACCATGAAGTAACAAATGGTTCCAGAGATGAAGGTGATCATGATTAGGAATGGCATCGCAGAAAGTGTATTTCCTACGACAAAAGCAGTGACTCCATAGTGCCCATTCAGCCTCTCTCTTTGGAAAACCTGCAAATTAATTTGAAGTAAACATCATAACTAAGCTGAACCGGGGAACCTGCTTAATTTGATGAGGCTGAGTTGTCTTAATTATTATCATACCTTCATGTCTTCTACAAAGGAAGGAAACCCTCCAATAGACATGAATGTGACAAAGCCAAATACAAACGATGCACATGCTCCCCTAGCCTGTGCACAACATTCAATCATTCATCAAGTCTTAAAATACTTTTGAAAACAAGATATCAATATATGGCGTAGATTGTCATAGGTAATGGCAGTGTACCAAAATTGCGCTGTAGTTGGTGCCCACATTCAAGTAAATTGTTCCAATGCAGATGGTAACCACAATATAGATTAGAAGCCTAAGCCAATAATACCCAAAGTCTCTAGACATGTTAACAAAGGAGCGTTTCGTCAATGTATACGATTGGATCAGGAAACTAGCTTGACTGCCTCCAGAATCAAGAACGGTCCCTTTCTGCAATAGAGGAATAGTAAACAAGAAGAGTACAATTAAATTTCTGCTGACGAAGATCTTGTAAATTATAAAGGATGATGGCATTCAAAAGGAACTTACAACTTTAGACATCTCCTGAACCTTCTCCTTGGCAGCATAACATTGTTGAGATGTCCGGTAAAAGGCAATAAGAGTTCGGATTGCTTCTGATGTGGTTATCTTTTCCAGCGGATCGTCACTTGCCTCAAACTGATTAAACATACGATTTTTGTCAGTTAGGACAACCTTGGCATGGGGACACCATGCCAAGAACTAGAAGAGTGGAGGAAGGGTTATATATATTACCCGAAGTTTCATGGACCCTTTTAGAGTAGCCTTAACTTTGTCGAAATCAGCATTAATACACCGGAGAAAATGATCTGATGGATTTCGCAAAGCTGGGCATGGGAATCCAGCTTGTGCAAAGAACTGTCAATGGAAATTGAAGTTCATTTCATGCTAATTAAGTAGAATGCAGATGTAAGCAAAAATGGAGTGAAAATTCTTGCCTCATATGCTTCCGAAGCCTTGCCGAAGTACGCAGTTTTGCCTCCAGAAAGCAAATACAATTGATCGAACAGCTCGAAGACTTCACTACTTGGCTGGTGAACGGAGGCAATGACAGTCCTACCGTCTCTAGATAGGGCCCGGAGTGTCTGCGTTACGAAGAAAGCCGAAGCACTGTCCCCAGATTGTTGGGGGGAAAACAGAGAAATCTCAATATTAATGTCTGTAGATGAAGGTACGATAACTACGGAGCAAATCTGAGAGGCAAACCTGTCTAGGCCGCTTGTGGGTTCATCGAGAAAGAGCAATCTGGGTCGCATCAGAATTTCGAGAGCAATACTAACTCGCCGCTTTTCTCCTCCACTGATCCCTCTGAGATGCCAATTTCCGATAACGGTATCGGCGCAATCTTGAAGACCCATCTCGATAATGGTGCCTTCAACCAGAGCACGCTTCTCCGACCAAGGCATCCTATCGGGAAGGCGCAGTCGAGCAGAGTATGAAATCGTTTCCCTCACCGTCAGAGTTCCGATCAGGTTGTCATCTTGAGTAACATAGGCCTAAGCATTTTGAAGACGTTAAATTAGACAAATGATATATTTATAGCATGTTTGATGAAATGACTAGGAGAAGAAAAAAAATCTTACTGCAGTTCCGAACGAGAGCTTGGTTTTCCGGCCATTAAGAAGAATGGTTCCGGCAAGGAAAGCATTGGCAGCGAGGCGGCTAGATAGAGCATCCAGAAGGGTAGATTTACCGGAACCGGACGGACCCATAAGAGCGGTGAGAGTACCAGGCTCGGCGTACCCTGTGAGTTCCTCCAAAACCTTCTGGGTCTGTCCATTGCTGAGAGTCACCATAACTGTAAGATCTTTCCATGTTAACCGCGCAGATACATCTCCTACAAACTCAGTGGCTGTCCTATCCCTCCACAGCGTCTCACTCAGAGGACTCAAACCCCCCACTACCATCCCTGCAGCCGGTTTGCTCGCCTCTATCTCCATCATCACATCACCGGCCGGATTCTTCATCTCCATCATCACATCACCGGCCGGATTCTTCATCTCCGATTAAAACCCACTTCGAGAATAATGGATCTAAAACGATTTTGAGACAAAACCCCACAAAAAAGATGTGAAAGAATTGTTAGCTTAACAAGAGCAACTTCAAATTTTCATGAGCATCACCAACTTGTGTGACTAAACTGATAATTCAAACAAATCTTCTTATTCCGATCATTAGGATGCAATGATACTTACTGCTGTTCTGAAATCTAGCTATAAAGCCAAATTTTTTAATATCTTGAACGAAAAACATGTATTGTCATGATCTGATGGATCTTCCCTGCTACCCAATAAATGGGTACTGATAGTTGTTGGTAGATGTATTAAATTGAGCCAACCGACTAGCATTAATCCTGCATGCCACCTTTTCAGTTGAATCAGTTTCTTAACCATCAATTTATCGTGCATAATTTCACCATCTCAGCATATATTAATTCGGTTCTTGGCAGTCTAACCAAGAGCTCCTCAAATATACTGATATAGGTTGAGGGATTAGAGAAGTAGTTTTTTATTATATAATTTAAAATAAAAAATTATTTTTTTATTATATATATAAAGTTAAAAGTTGTATTAATTATAATTTTTTATATTTATATTAATTTATATAAAAAAATTAATTTTAAATTAATTAACTATTTAATTAAAATTATTTATGAGATGTTCGTGACAAAATTGATATTTGTTCTTATATTTACTTATAAAAATTTATTATAAAAAGATATATATTAAAAAAACCTAGAATAATTTAAATTTGGTTGCCACATGGCAGAGCTACCTTGACCTGAATGAATTAATAATAAACATTCCAACCGACTCTTAATTTGGGTACATAAACCAAATTTACTAAGAGTCCAACACAGATTTTTAACTTTAATGAGTTTTATTTCTCTGTTGAACTTTTGCAAGTTTAGGGGAAGAGAGAAAGGGATGGATCTCAAGTGGTTGGGGTGGGGCTGTAATTGGTGCTGTGAATATCTTATGTACGTTTCAACCAAAGCGGTACGAAAGATATATTGCGACGTGCTAGTTAACTTTTCGCTAATTTTGGTGAAATTGGTTATCATATCGGTCTGCATCAGTCGGTGCAAATTTTATACTTTTAGGGTTGTCTGGTCAGAGGGAATTGAAAAAAAATATTATTCAGAAAATACTATACGATTTTTTTTTGACAAAAAGAATAATTGTATTAATAATAATTAAAACAATTATAATACAAGTTATACCTTTGCCATATAAGTTAAGTAGAAAATGTAAAAAATATTAGGAATCAATAATGACACTAATATAAAAGTTATTGCTTATAACTAATAAAATAATTAAATATTGAGAGTTTCTAAATATCAATATACATTATAAGAGTATCAACAAAATTATACAAAAATGTAAGAAGATTACTTTAAAACTTTCTTATTACTATTGGTAAACTACTTCCATTTATAACATCCAATTCTAGTATAGGAGTGTAGAAGGCATGATGATGTAGTGTCTCTCGTACCTACAATGCTTTACCCGGATTTGGATATGGCTCCTATTAAAAAGTATAGTGTGAAAAATTAATAAATCCTGTAATGAAATTTTGTTAGAATTTTACTTAGTTGTTAACTTTTCTATATTTAATAAAAAAATTGATATTGATAAAGTTAGTAGAATAATTGTTAAGATTTTGATATAAGGTTAAATGCTAAATTTGGTCCCTCAACTTTAGTGAGTTGCACATTTTTAGTCCCTCAACAATTTTTTTCACTTGTTTATCCCTCAACTCTAAGAAATGCACAACGTTTGTCCTTCTGTCAATTTGAGCCGTTAACTCTGCCACATGGCATTTTTTATTTTTTTTTATAACATGGCAAGAACAACGTAAAAATGTGCTGATCTGGACTTTTTTTTTATGACATGTCATCTTCTTCCTGCACCAAAGCCGTCTCACGTTGCCTGCAAACCACCAATAAAGATATGTGAACCCTAAAATGGTATCTCCACTCTCTGCAAAATCAATCTAACTCGAGTTGGGTTGCATTAGCAGTAGAGTCCTCACAAAATAATATGTCTATGAACCCTAGAATGCTCCAAAGGAGAATTTGAAATTCTCTATCATTGAACCCAGCTACTGGGTTTCATTGAAGCCTCAAACCTAACAGATGTTATCAAATCAAATTAATCCTTCAATAACCAATATCAATCAAACTTTAATCAAATTCCAACAAAAATACAATCAAACTCTAATTAAATTCCAACAAAAATGCAATCAAATTGTAAATCAACTCCTAAATTTATTAACAACTGAGAATGAAAATCGCGTCGAAACAGCAAGGCTGGGTTTATTGAAACCCAGTAGATCAGGGTTTCGACGGACCCAACCTGGGTTCGTTGAAACCCAGCCTTGCTAGGTTTCAACCGAACCCAGCAGGGTTTTGACGAACCCAACAAGGCTGGGTTCATCGAAACCCAGGAGATCTGGGTTTCAACCGAACCCAGCTTTGTTGGGTTCCCGATGATGGATCGAGCGCAGTCACATTGGAGCCAATCTGAGCATCCCCTGAGCCAACCTGAGCATCCCCTGAGCAAACACAAATCAACCCAAAATCAACGAATCTATCAAAGAACCCATAATAGCACAAACAAGAACAGAAGCAAAATTAACATTTGGAAAGAAAGTACCCGTGACCCAGGAGACCCACATTGAAGTTGGTGAGGAAATGGCAAGCGTAATCTGCTCCGGAAATATACCGGTGACATTCCTCTTGAGCCTGGAGTTATCCATTGGCAAGTCATTGCTGCCTCAACGTAAAGAAGAATTGAAAAGCTGAGTTACAGGCTGAAATGGACCTTCCAGAGTAGTGGGTATGCTTTTCCCAACCACTATCGTCTTTACTATGACAAGAAAATGGGTAGGAGCACGTAGAGCCTAGAGCCCTCCATTGGCTACTTTCCGTCTTTACCAAATGTTGGATGTTTCTATGTTGGGTTCCGATGAACCCAACTTTCCACCAACCCAGGGTAGGAAAGAAAGAAAGAGAAAGAAAGAAGGGGAAGAAGAGGGATTGGGAGGGTGAGGAAGGCCGGGTTTCGCCTACTGGGTTCATCTTTCCAGGAAGGTTGGGTTTCGCCTGCTGGGTTCATCTTTCCACCGACCCAGGGTAGGAAAGAAAGAAAGAGAAAGAAAGAAGGGGAAGAAGAGGGATTGGGAGGGTGAGGGTAAAAAAGTAATTTTATTTTTTAATTAAAATATAAATATTAATCTATGTGGTATTTTTATTTATTTATATAATATAATTATAATATATATTATTGCTACATCATCAAAAAAATTAAAAGATAATGCCACATGAAATTATTTAACTGTCATGTCATACTTAACTGATGGAGGGATCAAAACTGTGCAATTTTTAGAGCAAAGGATCAAAATAGTACAAAAAGTTGTTAAAGAACCAAAAATGTGCATTTCATAAAGTTGAGGGACTAAATTTAGCATTTAACCTTGATATAATAGAGAAAGTTGGTAAAAAATTATCAAGTGAGTTCCACGTGTGGAGAGTTGAGGGAAAATTTTTTCCTAAAGAGGGTGTTCGGTTTACTCTCCCAGAGAAAGCCCCCTTTCAAGATCTTTAAGGGTATTTTTGTATTTATACATCTCAAAACTGTAATAAAGAAATAATCAAAATGAAATTTTTTATATTTATTTTCCGTAATTCAATTCTCAACCTGTCAGCTTTTTTTCCCTCATTCTTTTCAAGGAAAAAAGTTTCCTACAACTCTCCTTATATACCACTCATTTAACAATTTTCTCTAGTAACTTTCTATATATCAATTTTTTTACCAAACATAACAAAATTAACATCTCAAAAAAATTCTAAAAAAACTTATAAAATTTAGTAACTTTTTATACATTATTTTCTAATTTTCCATATAGTATTTTTCCAATCCCTTTCCAATAAAAACTTTCCTCAAAAAGTTGCCCTTAACTCAGAATTGCATTAACAAAAATAAAAGTTAAAAATATTATTTTTACTCTCCTTTATTATAGTAATAAGGTATAAAAATACATAAATAATTTTATAAGAAAAATTTCTCTCAACTAAACATGCCCTCAATTAATTTGATCCCTCTAAGTGCATAAAAAGTCTTAGTACTTTAGTTTTGTTTCAATAAAGTTCTTATTTCTAAATCAATAAATTGAATTGAATTTTTTTTATAAAGAAATGTTATGATTTTCGGTTTTTAATTTGAGATTAATGTTTTCTATGTCAATTATATATGAGTAAAAAACCATTTACATATAAATTTTACATATTACATATATAAAATTTTAATTATTTATTTTTTCACTTTCAATAGTTGACATTTACTTTTTATTTATTAAAATAATTTTTTTATATAAAAAGTTATGATAAATCTCAACCGTTAAAAATAAAAATATGAATAATTAAAATTTTGTGTAAATATAATTTGTAAGAGTTAATTATATGTGAATGAATATCTCTTATTATATATATATATATATTTTTTAATAAATAATACATATCAATCTCAACTTCATGAAATCGATATCATTAAATATAGTACATAAG